GATGAACAAAGTCGCCGCGCGTTTATGGGTTTCAGAACAACCTCAGTGACATCCGACGCTGTCAATGATATCGAAGACCTTCGGAAAAAGATTCACGCAGAGTATGACCACACGCAACCTCCAGGAACGGACGTTCTCGCCCGCGTTGCGGCAGGTCAATTGAGAATCTACGCGAACAGAGCGGCGTATGACGCCATGAAGGAGCCTTTGGAAGAGGATTTGCTGATCGGTACGCTTGGCGGATCGAAGAAAAACGCGCTCATCGTGGAAGTGCCACAGGAGCATCAAGTGCTGCCAGACGAAAAAAAGGCAGCGAACGGAAGCCGTCGATCCTCGTCATTTGAATGAACTGGTCGCACTTGCACTACAGCTTGAAGGTGCCAAGGAACTCAAGGTTGAAAAAGTATTGGATACTCCGATGACAATCTTTGGCACGTCAATCCCCGATGGATTGTACATCCGACAGGAGTATTGGAACCTCCATGATATCATCAAGCAACGATTGAGGTCAGATCGATCGCTCCGTAGAATTCTTGTGGTTGGAAGTCCTGGGATTGGGAAGTCGGTGTTTGGGGTGTTCTTGCTGCTGCTGTTCATGACGGAGCAAAAAGATGTCGCCTACCGCCGGCTTGGTGATAAAGTGATCTACTTTACTTGGAACGCGGATGGTTACAAGTGCTCATGTACGCCGTATGCTGGGAGAACCTACGATGGATTATTTGATGGAAATGAAGCCGGTGAAGCATTGTGGCTAAGTGACTTCGACCGTGCGTTTCTATTCGCCAAACCGTGCACCAAGAATTACAACGAGTTTGTCAAGGCGGTTTGCTTCAAGATGTATATGAATCCATGGACAAAAGACGACTGCCAGAGGTTCGCCGATGCAATGAAGTTGGAGGACCAAGACGAGTGGTTACGGAGGTTCAATCTTGTTGGGGGCAAACCAAGATTCTTGTTTTCATCATCCGAAACGTTTGATGACTTGGTACAACGAGTGAAGGAAGATATTCCCCACAATCTCGATGAGTTGAAGGACCAAGTTCGGCTTTTCCAGCAGAAAGTGTTCGAAGATCGGATGAAGCACATTGTATTTCATTTGTATCGCAATGAGAACGCGCCCAGTCGTGCTTACTTGGCGTATTCATCTTTAACAGTCGAGGCGATCATGAATGCGCGTTATAAAGTTGGTTCCGCCGATGAAATTCGCGCATTGTTGCAGACTCCAGCCCCGAATTTGCAGTCGTGGCGAGGCAAAGAAATTGAGAAATTTCTTCTGCAAGAACTTGCCACCAGCAAGTTTTGTATGAGAGCACTCGAAGGAAGCGGTGTCGGAACCGTCACGCGACATGGTCCATTGAATGCAGCGTCGGAGATCATTCAAGCGTCATCTGAAATCCAGAATGAGTTGGTGCTGTACATCCCGCTATCGAAGACTTTTCCAGCAATTGATGGTGTGCTTGTCGTCCCACAAGATGGTCGTATTATCTACGCCCAGTCGACAGTGGCCACAGCTCATCCCATCAAATATCAACAGCTAAAAAATGTCTATCAGGATTTGACGCAGCGCCAAGAGTTTCAAGGCTATACGCACATCCTTCTCTTCATCGTCTCGAACGAAATCTACGACGGTTTTACTGTTCAATCCTACAAGAATGCGGACGGGAAGAATCGCACAGCGAGAGTTGATATCGACGTGACGCAGTATGTTGGAAAGATCAGTCGGCAATAGATCACGATATGAGAATCACCTCGGGTCACGCTTGCTCTGAGGCTCAAGAATCCCGACCGCCCGAGCTCGATGCAATTTCGGAGCAGATTTTGCAGAGACCTCGAACGAAAAGCCGACCGCGGCATCGCTTCTCGAAGGAGAAGTTAGTTGCTTGAGCACATTTTTAATTTGATAAAACAAGAAATGTAGTAACGCAATGCAAATCGACTTGGTGCCGCGCATGTTTCTCCACGTGACCCATGACGCTGAGTTCCGCTTGAGGAACACTCGACTACGTTATATTATCAATGTCACATCTTCGACTGTTTGTGAAAATTTGAAGGATGTTTGCGATTTTCACCCCTTTTTATCTAGTTAATCAGGGTACATTTATTTAAAAAGTTAAGTAATCAGGATACCAATGAGTTCAATGCGCCAAATAACCCAATTATACGTTGGGTGGCTAAATAAAGCCAAATAATCCCAATGGATTTTCCCCGTGCCCTCTCATTGGTCGAATCAAATGGTCTGTTCAAATTAGTGTCCAAGTAGGAAAAGTCTGCTGATGGCGATGCTAGTTCTTGGGGTGTTGGTGTTGGTTCTCGTGGCAGTGTTGCTGCTCGTGACGTTCGTGGCCGTCACGTGGGAGCACGATCTGGTGCAAAGGTATTGGGTGCTCTCTTTACTTTAATCCCCCCCCCCCCTCTATACCTAAATGAGCTGCGTGAATTTTGCTGTTGTCATGTCGCTGTAGCTACGCTGCGTTGCCAGCCCCTGCTGACCTAGGCACGAAGGAGTTTCGCTGGCGCTGTTGGCTGTCACCGCTTACGCGTCGCGGTTGGCGCACCTCCATTCTGCGTAGCCCATGTCCACGTATCACGTTGCAGTGTCCCTTTGCGTTACTGTCTTCGGATTTTGCTAAGCTCGCCACCTCGCTGAGTCTGCCGAAGCTGACACTGGAGCAACTGCCATTCATGTTTCCACAAGTGGCAGTTAGCAGTTTGTTCCTACAACTTCTGGGAAACTCGAACTTTCCGGTTAGCGTGCGCAACATTCGTCTTAAAGCTCTTACTGTGGTCCAGCTGAGGCCGCTGGACATGAGTTTTCCGTCTCAAGGCGAAGAGACGCCACCGCCACCAGAGCTCACGGTGCGTAGCGAATGACTCGGATATATTGTTCTCCTTCTGGCATGCTAACAATGGCGCTGATCGAATCAATGTAGTGCATCATGGTTCTGACAGAGAAGCGTTTCCTGGAGTCGGAGATTGAGTTCATGGTTCAAACGGACCTGTTCGATGACCAGGGCACGGTATGGCAGTCTGTAACCTGGTTTGCGATCCCGTTCAAGCAAGAGGCACTATTGGTCCCGGTATCACAGTCTTCATTCAACCTGGATGAAAACATGGTGACGCGTGCCAACGCGAACCTTCGTGAGGAGTCCTTTGAATGCTCTGCTAGGAACGTTTCCGAGTTCAGGGATGTTGGCGTTGTGGATTTAACAGGTGCGCGCACCAACGAGACCGACTCTGCCCCGCTTATGTGGATGCTTGCACGTGCAACGGGCATGCTTCAGCAGCAACAGCGAGTGCCAGCGCAACCGCTCATGTGCAGCTGTATGTTCGGCGAGGAGTTGGCATCCGTTCCACTCCACAAGAAATTACAACTACAGTCGTGGACCAATGAGGAATGTCCGCAGGAGCAGACACAACCGGAAGTGGCCAAGTTTGCTGTCAATTCTCAAGACATGAATGTCATGACTGGAATTCTACGAACTGTCGGGTGGAACTATTCCAACGCATCGTGAGGATAAACTTCGAGAATGAACCTAGCTTTCTGCAACATTGTCCATACCATCTTGTAAATTTACTTTCCTTTACTGTAAAAAGACATTTTTATCTGTAAATTTAGCTAACATCCAAGTTGAAAGGCGTTGCCCAAAAGATCCCACTATCCAGCGGCGAGGATCGCGCCGTGTTCCTTGAGATCGACGACGTCCGGTGGCGAGGGCTCTTTAGCGCGTGCTTTGCGTCGTGTGTGCTAGCTAAACGAACACCCCAGGGCGCTGTAAGAAGTCCTCTCCGATGAGCCACGAGAACGACAATGGTGTCACGGAGCCGCTGCTCCCCGCGCGCTTTAAAGGTCGCTCCAATTCTCTGTCTTCCTCTCCCAATGTGGTGTACGATGGCGATTCTACGGGGCATGTAGAGCGAGGCGAGGGCCACGTGAAGAACCGTCCCCTTCGAGATTCGTACTTGAAGCAGCTGGGCTATACACCCCTCATTTTCAAGGTAAAGTGTATCTCGAGCACTTCCTAGCTCTTACTTGACGGTTGTTGCTCATGTGCTGCATAATGAAGCGTAGAAGCTCTAACGTGCCTTATCTTCATACAGAAAATGAAGAAAATTGGCAGCTTTATCGCCTCGATGTCGCCGATGCGGAACCGAAAGGTAGCCAGTGAAGTTCTCTTTGATTGCACACTGTTTCATAATTTAAAAACCCATTGCTACGTGCCGCTGGAAACCATCTAGCCTAATGACGACGACCTCCTTAGCGACGCCTTTCCGTATCACCAGTCAATCATTCCATCCAAGGGCTCGATCCGCGGCTCCGTTTTCAATTTGGCCGGCGCTACTCTTGGTGCAGGAGCGCTATCATTGCCGTATGCAGTCGCAGTCTCTGGCTTGGGTTTTGCTGTGGCTCAGCTTGTACTGGCTGCAATATTAACTGTGTATACGATTCGATTGCTGATTCGCGCGGAGGATATTACAAAGTATGAAACTCAAGCAATCCTTCAGTTCTACATGATGACTGATGCGCCTATTATTAAAATTATCTGGAGCAGGTTGAAGTCTTACGAGGATCTGGCCATGTACTGCTTCGGCACGAAGGTACGCTCTATTAACTTATTAGTTTGAGAGCTTTACACCTCTAACCTGCACGTTTAGATGACGATTTTCGTCGAGGTGAATATTCTGGTTTTCTGCTTTGGAATTTCAGTCGCGTACCTTGTAACGCTAGGGGATATTATCACGCCACTTGGTGAGCTCTGCTTCGGGATGCAAAGTATTTTCGCACAGCGATGGGTGCTCATGACGATCTCGTGCGGAACGATCATGCTGCCACTATCTATGATGAAGGACATCAGCAGTCTCCAGTTTTCATCCATTCTGGGCGTGCTTTCTATCATCTTCCTCGTTGTGGCGGTGGCCATCCGGTCAATTATGTACGCGAGTGCCAATGGCATTCCGGACGACATTAGCTGGGCCATCGATTTGAGTCATGGTCCGAACTTCATGCTCAGCGTGCCAATTGTTATGTTCGCATTTACCTGTCAGGTGGGTGCCGTGATGTATTTTCATTCGTTGTCAGCGTTCTAATGGTCGTCTGTGCATCGAAATCAGGTGAATGTTTTCTCGATTTACACGGAGCTGCAGCGTCCATGCATTCGGCGCATGAACAAGGTAGTCGACCGCGCTACACTGATCTCTTTCCTGATCTATCTCTCTATCGGAGTGGTTGCGTATCTGGCGTTTGGTCCTCAGCTCGCGGAACCGAAGTACAAGGGAAATATCCTTTTGAGTTTCCCGTTGAACGACACGTTGATTGCCATTAGCCGAGCCGCCATCACCTTTACCGTGGCTGTGGCTTTTCCGTTGAACATCTTCCCGTGTCGCTTCACTATCGATATGATGTTCTTCTCCAACTCGGAGGACTCGTGGCCGCGCCATGTGGCCGTGACGAGCGGCCTGGTGCTGCTGGCACTACTGCTCGCTATCTTCTGTCCCAGTATTAATGTGGTGTTCGGCATCATCGGTGGCACGTGTTCCACGGTTGTGTGTTTCTGCTTCCCGGCTGCATTCATCTTGAAGCTCGAGGACGGCCCACTGCTAGGCCCCAAGAAGATCGGCCCGCTGCTGCTGTTCATCGGCGCAATTGTGATCGGGTTTCTGGGTACGGGTGTAACGGTCTGGTCCAGCCTGCTCATGCCGCCAGCGTGAGGCGCTGTTAGTAAGTCACCATGCCTTCAGCATTGGGCTACACCAACGCAGTGGAAAATGAGGCCCACTTCAATTTGGGTGTGCAGAACATAAAATAGTCCAAACATTTTCGATCAATCATCTTCGACTGCCATCATCTTCAGGTTCGAGTCCTTGACGATGGAGTAAACAAACTGAATTGTCCGATTGGCAGCTCTTCCGGGTTGTACCACATCGCCTCTCGCGAAGAGTGTATCTGGCACTGAAGACGGCTATGAACGCGACCGGAGACGGCACTTCGCGCTACGCGGCAGTGCAGAATGAGGAGGCGATCCAGACGTGCCTGTACTGCGCCAACCTGAAGGTGCTACGCGATTTGCTGCCTCCGAAGCGATGTGATTATGTAAGTTGGCCCTGGAGACTACAAGCACCATTTTCTTTCCTACTAACGCTGAGGCTACTGCTGCTCTGGTTGATTGTTTGTACAGTGCCGTAAGTGGCGATGCCAGTTTTGCACGCTCAAGTTTCCGCTGCTAGGCTCGCGCAAGGGGCTCCCAAAAAAACTGAAGGGTAACTCGCGCATTTGTGTGCAGTGCTTTGGCCAGATCTGGCAGGAGAATGAAGCCGCCAGCTCGCCAGATGTACTCGGGCGTTTGGGTGGGCCAAAGCACGTGTCCGTACCGGACACTCAGGAGTGCAGGCGTGAATCACGCGGCGTTAGCTTTTTGGAGGGAGACCCAATGATGGGGCGCCGAGGATCGATAATGGAGACGAGTCGCCGCAGCTCTGAAATGGGATCAAGTCGTCGAGAATCCATGCAGGAGTTGGAACGTCGTGAGTCGATGATTGTTGATCAAGTGTGGGCAAGGTCGGGCTCATTCAGTGGCTCCAACAGATTTTCGTTCATGGACAGCTCGAGTGGCAACGATCTCACCAAGCGGCCAGTGACCTCGAAGATTCGTCGCGGTGGGCTTTCATACCGCGTCGCATCGTTCTTGGGTCTTGTGGCAGGTGATGGAGCTGATAGAACAAGCATGAACTCTGCAATCGGTCTGTGGCTGTCACTCTTTGCCGCTTCCATCCTGTTGGTGATTGCATTAGCCGACGGGTTTACCCTTCACCAGCGCCTATGGTATTGTGTAGTGACGTATGGAGTATTTCTTACGCTGCACCCTTGGGTCCATGCAGATCGACTGGACAGATCCACGTCAGAGAAATCAAACCAGATAAAACGAATGGTGCAGTCAAATGCTATAGCACCAGCTCAAGATACGACAAGACGCCGCATATCCTTGGCTGTTTCAGGGAGTGGGTCTGTTCCAGCAGAGTACAAACGTTGTCTTCAGGAGATGGAAGAGAAGTTAGCGTACTACTTGAGTGACAAGTGTCCCTGGAAGCTGGTAAAGGATACTACAGGGGGTGGCATCTACGAAATGACTGCAAACAAAATGCCCTTCGCTATTTTCAAGATCGAGGTATTCATAACGGGGATATCCATGGACAAGTTCCTGGCCTTCCTCGACAGCAAGGACCCAAAGGATCGATGTGTGTGGGATCTCAACCAGGCAAATTATGAGGTGATCGAGACATTCGACAGCAGTGACCTTGATGAGGATGCCGATGTGAGTGTCTGCGTGAATACGCAGAAGCCCTTTCTTGGTGGGTTGGTGGCTTCGCGAGACTTCTGCTTGCTCAATGTGGCAACAGACAAATCAATCTGCTTCTCCAGTGTCACGCATCCAGCCGTACCTGTGCGTCCAGGAACAACTCGCGGCCACATCTTTTTCTCTTGCTTCCATTGCGAGGAGAATGCAAATGTTGAGGGGCCAGAGGGCTTTTTGCTGACCTACATTTGCCAAACTGACATTGGTGGGAACCTCCCCGTGAAGCTGCTTTACAACGGCACCATGGACAACATGCAGAAAATGTCAAAGGTGTTCTTGCAAGCCTGCTACTTGTTTTCCGGATAAAAGGCAATACTGTACTCTGGAGGCACTCACGCTGCAGAGACAGCCAGAAGAAGTGAAATGATCGAACATCTCGTACACGTGACCGAAGCGTGCCTTTATATGTCATAATTGCGTAGGTCTTTGCTACAGCAAGGCGAATAACCATCACTAACAAACGGTGATACTAGTCAATATGTTCCGTGTGGGCATTCTCTGCATTACGCTCCCACCAATAAATACCCCATGGGGCTACAAAGCTGCTCACCAACCTCCTTGTCCTTTGACGTTATGAGCGAGGTGAGCCGAGCAACGGACGGCAGCTGAAAGTGGATACAGTGATGCGATCTTCCTCGATAACATTATTGTCACGTTGTAGTATAGTAGTTCATTCCTCAATGCTGCCTGTGTTGTTCTGCAGCGTTGAGTCTACCAGTTTGTCCAGCATGTACATAAAGGCTGGGTTCTCCTTGACCCAGATGATAAACTTGGTAGCTTGAGAGGGAGTGAGGATCTGTTGTAGCTGCGCTACCTGGGTCTCTAACGCAGTGTTCTTCTCATCGGTCACTTCTTCCAGCTTCTTCACAATGCTCAAGGTGTGATTCAGATCGTCGCGAACTGTTTTGATGGCCGCTCGGCGCTCCAGAATCTGCCGTTGTTGTTCGTCTGAAACCTCTAACTCGTCCGCCAGGATACCCCAAAGACTCATAGTCGCGTTGGCAGATTCTGGCGCGGACATCGGATCTTCCTTGATAACGTGATCACGTCTGAGCATATCCACTCCCTGTTCCACTGAATACAGACTCAACTTCGTAACCTGCGTGGGAAGGAGCAGCTCACGAATGCGGGACAGATGAAAGTGCAGCTTCTCGCGTCGCTTTGGTCCGTAGTCTGAGTACGTCACCTTGTACATGTTCAGGAATTGCGCGATCTCTTGTTCATTTGCATTGCGCTGCAGCATTTCCCGCATCTGCTCCTTGATCTGCTGCTTTTCGCGCTGCTCACTTAAAATCGCCTCCTTGCCAATTTTCAGGCGCATTTTCAGATCCATATTTTCTGCCTCCAGTCGGCGAAGTCGTGCCTCATTCTGTTCAAGCTGCTTCGTCTTGCGCTTGCGGAACTCCCGAACGGACACTAGGTTTTTCACACGACGAAGCTGCTTTTTCTCGAGATCTTCTTCAGCCTCAGAGCCGGCAGCAGTTGGTGACGCTGGCTCGCTCTTTTTGCGCTTTAGTGGTCGTTTACTCTTTGGGACAGTCAAAGCGCTTATCTTGCTCTTAGCTCTAGTGTTGCGGGAGCTAGTAGGAGCCTTTTGTCCGGCGCTTTGTACTGCAGAGCCACTGTTTTCTCGCTTCTTCCCTCCTGCCCCCTTAGCAGCTGCCATCAACTTGGCCGCTGATTGTTTTCCGTCCTTCTCCTCTGCATCGTTATCGTCGTCAAAATCTTCGTAGCTCGCATCCACGCTGAGATTGCCACTGTCAAAGGGCCGCGTGTTCGGAAGCATAGACATGAAACTCGCGGACTGCGAAGACCGCAGACCCTCATACAACTGCGTCGCCAACAATCGGGCGTTCGACTCCGTTACTCCAGCAGCAGTAGCCGCGTCGACCGCTTGGCCCTTGGTCATCATGTGCTGGGTTCCCGCCATCATGCGGTCCATCTCGATGTCATCGAGAGGCAAAATGTCGCTTTCCGCGTTCTCTGAGGAGCTGGCTGCCAACCTGTCGCTCGTGGTCGCAGAGGTCGCTGCGTTGTTACGCAGTAGCCATCCGAAAGCGTCCTCCTCGCCGTCCTTAAAGATGCTCCAATCGATTCCGCTCATGGGTGCGGGACTGGTCGGGTTGCGCTTGTCGCTGCTGGGACTGGCGTCCTGCTGGTCGCCCATCAGTGTGGCGTTGGTGGGTAGCGGGCCTGACGGATGAATTGCGCTCTACTGCGGAGCTCTCTCTTTCTGAGATGCTTGTCTAGTTGCAAGTGGACTGCACAGCAAGGGCACGCACGCGTCCGTCGTTGTAATCTGAGTCGGACTGGACTCAGACTCGCGCCACCGGACGACGACGTCAAGTGTAAACAAGTCTCCACCAAACGTAGTAAGTTGCCTTTACCTACCGGCAGGAATATCTCCAACGTGCTGGTTAACCCGCAGGCGTATCCCTTCGTCGTTCAATATAAAATCTGGTTCCCAAGCGGAGAAAAAGCAAATGTGTAGCGCAGTCTGCGCAGATTGCCTTACGAGTTTTGTGTTCAAGAAGTGACGTTGTCGTCGCCTGCGTTCTGTGTAATTTATCCTCTGATTGCTTGGGGAGCCGTAGATCATCTGAGTGCGAAGGTTCAAGGCTGATGCTGCTACTACCGAGGTGTGACGAACCTACCTTTCCGCACGATTGCTTCGTGTGGTCACGGGCCCAGTAGGATACCTAGGTAGGGTGCATGTGACTTCAACAGCGACTCCCCCTGGAACGAAGTTCTTGATACTGACACATTATACACGATCTGAAACTCCCCAGTCAATCCACCTATTGCTCAAGTCTACAGTGCTGCTATTATCTTTAGGGACACTAAAGATTGTGTTGTTCTACTCGCATTACGCGGAATTAGATCGTGCAACTCGGTCTAAAGCTGACTTACACAATGACTGACAACTGGCAGAAACGGTTTTTAAAAAAATGTGCGTATTGCAAATTCAAAAGTGAAATTGCCATTTTAGGGGGTGTTCCTATCTATAGGGACACTAATTATTTGTCAAGATACTGAAGTGACGTTTCATTTCTATTGGCTAAAATTATGCAATTAGCTCGGAACTGTTCTTTACTCCCTCTAGACCACGCGCGGAATCCCCAAGCAACTCACGAATGCCACGAGGGAAACGATTGTCGGCGGAGGAGATAGGACGAGTGAAAGCATATTTTGCAGACGGGAAAAGCAAACGCTGGATCGCCCGTGCAATAGCCCGCAGTGTCAATGCTGTAATCAATGTCCTTCAACCTCCAAAGCTTCCAAAAAACAAAAAACGCCAAGGAAGGCGCCCTAAATGCACTAAGCGCCTGGTCCGTCAGGTGCTGCGACTTGCCACCGTGGAAAAACTATATTCTAAACGGATTTCGGAGGCAATCGGCCACGTACTACGCCCAAGTACCGTCAGAAAGCTGCTTAACTCGTCGGCGATCGCCAAGTGGATCAAGCGGAAACCGTCACCGGCCATCAAGCCGAACCACAAGGTGGCTAGAGCCGCATTTGCTGCCAAATTTCTAAGCAAAACGCGCATCTGGCGTCGCGTCTTCTTCAGCGACGAGAAGAAGTTCAACTTGGACGGTCCGGACGGGTACCAATACTATTGGCACGACATTCGGAACGACCAAGAAATCTTCTCGAAGCGCGCAAGCGGCGGCGGCAGCGTAATGCTGTGGGCTGGCATGAACTTCTTTGGAAAAACTGAGATTGCATTCCTTGAGGGAAGGCAAAACTCTGCCTGCTACACTAGCACACTGGACACCTACTTGCTTCCCTTTCTCGAAAACCGTCGCCAAAACCATGGCATTGGGAAGCCTATTTTCCAGCAAGATAATGCCTCAATCCACGAATCTAGGTTCACTAAGGCCCATATTGAGGCGCTAGGCATTAGGAAGCTAAAGTGGCCATCGAAGAGCCCTGATTTAAACCCTGTTGAGAACGTGTGGGGTCAGCTAGCATGGTCTGTCTACGAAGGAGGGCGTCAATTTGACACCAGAGACGAGTTGAAGGCGCAGATCGTGCGAAGCTGGGCTAAAATTCAGCAGAGCTACTTACAAGGGCTCGTGAAAGGTATGCCGACAAGAATGGCGCAAGTAGTTCTCAAAAATGGCGGTGCAATTGATAAATAGACCACTTTCTAACTCGTGTCCCTATAGATAGGAACACCCCCTAAAATGGAAATTTCACTTTAGAATTTGCAATACGCACATTTTTTTAAAACTCGTGTCTGCCAGTTGTCAGTCATTGTGTAAGTCAGCTTTAGACCGAGTTGCATGATCTAATTCCGCGTAATGCGAGTAGAACAACAAAATCGTTAGTGTCCCTATAGATAATAGCAGCACTGTAGGTAGTTGGCCTCCTTCTAGGGGTCCTTGCTTGTCTGCGAACGAGGCGGCGAATGGTGCATGTACCGTCCCGCAGTTATCGTAAGATAGTCTTCAACAATTTGAATCCAATCGCGCCAAACTGATTCATAACATGAATCAGTTTATTGCAGGCGCCAACCACGAAGATCTCCACTTTCGTTTATCATCATCTGCTGCGAGAGCATCTAATTAAGCCAGTCATGCCGCTACCTGCTGTCTACGGTGCCGTATACGCGACGGCCACCAGCTCGGCGCCGGCCGGGAAAATCGACAGCGGCAAGAAAGCATTGCGCCACCTGGAGAACCTGCCGCTGCTGGTGGCTTCGGATTCACTCGAGTCCATGACTACGGAGGGGAAATGGCTCCCGCGCTTCATGCGTCGCGCAGTTGTGCGCAGTGTTGCCAACCGTATCGCTGGTCTCATCCTGGTGGGAACATCGGCTTTCCTGGCCAGCTGCATCGCTACACTGGCCAAGGACGACGCGATTAAATTGTCGGCAGTTGAAGCACTGTTCTGGCGCTCTCTGGTATCTTGGCTGTTCACCGTTGTAAGTTCTTTAGGCATCGCTTTCATATCGGACTCCTCTAACTTTTTGTTGATCAGTTGGCCATTGCGACCACTGGCACGAAGATGCGCGTTAAGAAAGAGTTTAATCGCCAGCTCTTGCTTCGATGTATCTTGGGTTGCATTTCAACGACACTTTCAGTTCTAGTGCTGGAGAAATTGGCGGTGTCGAATGCCACTGCAATCACGTACTTCAGTCCTTTGCTCGTGTTCGCAATGGTAAGTTCTTCAACTCGGTTCGTTGTTTCACTGTGTCTGTATCGCCCGTATCGCCTCCTAATCGTTGCGATATTATCCTCGTAACACAATAGGCCGCCTTCTTCCTCAAAGAGAAACCGGGGCTTTTCACAGTAGTATGCTCTGTGCTATGCGTTACCGGTGCCGTGTTGGTCGTGCGACCTGCCTTCCTCTTCGGCAAGAACGGGTCCACCGACGCCAAGTGGTATCACCGCTCCATGACCAGCTTCGTGACTTCGTATCTGTTTGGCGAGTCACTGGCCGTTGGATGTGCTGTCGTGGTGGCTTTCATGCAGGCAGGTGCTTATGTGTCGCTGCGCAGCTTACACAAAGTGCAATATCTCGTCGTGATGCATTACTTCCTGTTCACGATGACACTCGTATCGCTGGCGGCAATGCTTGGCGTTCAGCATGGCAAATTCAAGGCGGGAACGTCGCTGGAAACGTGGGGCGCCATCGCTGGAACAGGTGTGTTGGCCTTCGCGGAGCAGCTCTTCCTCACGCGTGGATTCCAGTTTGATGGCGCCGGCGTGCTGGCTGCCACAAGGCTCCTGCACGTTGGCTGCGAGTTTGCGTGGGGCGTCATCCTGCTGGGCACTGCGTTGAACCCATGGAGCGCTGGTGGTGCCGGCGCCACTGCAGCGGGGGTTCTGTTCCTCGCGCTGCGCCGAGTGCACACCCACTGGGCAGCGAGACGTAGCTTGAGGAGAATGCTGCAGTAAAAGTTGCAGGCAACTTCAACACGCTCACACGTAAATACACATCACTGTCTCTCAAAAATGCGAATAAATGTGAATATTACGTAGTAGTTCTGTAATTTCCATGCTTTAGCCCCCCCCCCCCCCCCTCAAGAAGCAAAAAAAATCGATCAGATCAGAGTCGATGGAGGCAACGGCACCTACTTCGAAGCGACCGGGTCGCTCTGGGCTTGCGCCGGACAAGAATGCGTACAATCACTACGCCCGTAGTTGCCGCGAAGGAGTAGCTCAGGCGCATCCCTCGTGGTCCGTTCAGCAAGTTTCGTCGGAGCTGGGACGGCAGTGGAAAGCTCTAACGGCTGCAGAACGCAAGCCGTGGATCGAGTTGGCGCAGTTTGACAAGGCGCGTTTCCACACCGAAGCTCGCCAGTACATTCGCCAGCAACAGACAGATGGCGTGAGTTTGACGATTAAAGTGTAGCGAACACTGCAGCGAAGGTAATACTGATTAAACTCTGCGAATGTGTGTTTCCCATTAGCAACCGGTGCAACTTCCGATCAAGCGAAAGAAGAAACAGAATGAACCGCGACAGCCCGACACATCCTACATTTGCTTCTGGAAAAGCCGAAGACCAGAAGTGGTAGCTGCTAACCCGTTGCTCGATGCGCAACTCGTATCGAAGGAAGTTGCAAGGCAATGGAGGGCATTGCCAGACAGCGAGCGGAAGATTTGGGAAGATATGGCTGCAAAAGACAAGTTACGTTTTCAAGAGGAAATTGCGTGCATTCACCCAACATTGGAGGTAGCTCCACAAAATGTGTCCGCACTGAAAAGTCCTCTTAAAGACCCGTTCGCTCCCAAACCGGCGAAGACAGGCTTCCAGCTATTCATGAGCCACAACCGCGAGAGTTTTACACTATTAAACATGACGATCAACGAGTTCCGCACTGAGATGAGTCAGCTTTGGAAGCGTCTGAGTGAGGCTGACAAGAATGAGTGGTATGAGCTGGCTAAACAAGACGGACGGCGATTTGAAAGAGAGATGAACGCCTACAAACCTCCAGCCTACATGGATTCGGAGGTTCAACGCGCACACAAGCATATTGACGAGCTGAAACGTTTGACTCGCGGAGATCCAGCGGCACCGCGGCTGCCGAGAAATGCGTATAGCGTGTATTTGTCGACAAAGCGACAAGAAATAGCAGCTCAGCACCCAGACCTCAAGAATTCTCAAATCATGCGTGAAATAGGAATCGCGTGGAAGGCATTAACTGACGACGAGCGCGCTCTGTACCAACGTAAGGCTGAAGAGGACGTGGATCGGTTCCGGACTGAAATGGAAGCTCACTTAGCACGGCAGTATGAGGGTCAGCAAGCTTCAGACCATCCAGCGAAGAAGCGGACACGAAAGCGGAAATATGAGCGACAGACACATACACATCAGGATTTACGAGAACAAGAAAAACAAGAAGATCAACAACAGCAACAGCAGCAGCTAGTTACTGTCCACAGAAAAGTCAAGGCACCGGTAGTTGGACGCAAAAAGCGGAAGACTGGACCCCCTCGTCGTCCAAAGACGGCCTACAACCTCATGTACATGTCCAAGCGCACAGAGTTACTTGCGACGTATCAGATGTCCCACAACGAATGCTCAGCCCTCTGCGGTCGACTGTGGCGTCAGATGTCGGAGGAAGAGCGCGAACCATACAAACGCATGGCTGTTGAAGACAAACGTCGATATGAGGTTGAATTGGCGACCTACAATGCGCAAGCGAGCGTCGCCAGCGAGGGAGCGTTGCGCGACTCGGCAGGGTTTCAATACTTTTTCGAGGCCAAATGCCGAGAGAACGAGAAGATTTCTAGGAATGAAGTTGCTGCAATTTGGCGGGGTATGTCGGAGCCACATCAGCTGCTATGGGCCGAACTTGCGAATGACAGTCACCTACCCGGTGCTGATGCGTCCGACGCGAATCAAGAACGAACAGAAGAGCAGGGGCATCTTGGAATGAGTGCGAGCGCGGTGCTGACCCCGCAAGAGAGACTGCTCTGATTGTATGTGAAAACCTCTTTGGAACGAGTTTTGTTACTTCATCTGTCAAGACGTTGTGCCTCGCCGGTGGAATTTGGGCTGAGCAACATTGGCACCTAGGGGAGTCAACGGATAGGAAGGTGGCTGCGAGCACGAAACCACTGTAGTCCGGTGTGCTTCAAGCGATTTGTCTATAAATATGTTGGCAGGCGACTCATATTTGCTGTAGTGAAACGAAGCAAACACTCGTGATGCGAGTAGGAGACGGAGACCTAGCGACTATGAATAGTGAGCTCCGTCGTGTGTTGCGGTTGCACCTACATATCTATCGCGCCGAGGCAAACCTTTTGGTGTTGTTGTTAAGATATGGATTCGCGGAGGAGCCAGTCTGCGCGTTGGTTTTGCTTTATATCCAGCCACACTTCGACACGTAACTGCTCGCGCACTTAATGCCTTCCTTCTGCTTTGTGCGCTCGTATTCATACCTCAGCGGATAGAGTACGAAACGAACCCAAGCACCCAGCTTTGAATATCTTTCTTGGATCGACAAAGCTCACTTCTCAAGTTGGCGGCCGCCGCTCAATCCACCGGAATTACCAGTAGCGCAGCAGCATCGGTATCTTTGACAATAGCGGACACCACCGCAACCTGGTCTGACAAACGCAACTCCTCGTCGATGCTTCACGACCCAATCTCGTCTGCAACACTCATGTCCTTCTCCCCATCAGCGTCTCCATCAGTAGCAAGTCCAACCGACAGCATTATGTCTGCGGACTCCAGTCCAGCATTGCTGCCGATCACTGCTACCGTCACTGCTGAGCTGTTCGACAGCGATTACAGTAACTCAAACTCACCAGCAATCGTTCCTCTTGTGTCATCGACTAGTGTATCTCCACTAACGATGTCACTTGAAACGTCAAAGTTGAAATCATCCGCAACAGCAGCCCCCGTCCCAACATCGTCCAACGCAACTCACCAAAAGGGGCAAACAGGGATGAATGGAGGCCGCTGGACGGAGCAAGAACACCAAAGCTTCCTCGCGGGATTGCGCCTTTATGGCCGTGAATGGAAAAAAGTGGCGGCCAAGATCAAAACGCGCACATCTGCACAGATCCGAAGCCATGCACAGAAGTATTTCGCCAAGCTTGCACGCGACGATGAAATGCGCAAGCACAGCGGGCTGTCCATGGTAATGTCGGGGCCGGTCGGATATTTCAGCGACGGCGGTTCCTCCGTCGCACAGAATAGCGGTGACGAGGATGGTGAGGGAGCGGATGCATCTCGACAAATGGCCCATGGACGTTCAGCAGGACAAGCAAAAGGAACTGCTGCCATTCTAATTGCCCCGATGGGCTCTGCTGTCAACGGACTTTACAATCAAACAGCGACAACTACCAAAAAGAGATCGCGAACAGCGGTGACAGGCTTTGATGATCAGCTCGGAATGAGCTCGGCTCCTTCAAGATATCCGTATAAGCTTCAAAAGAGAACAATTGATGCCGCACGTGCGGAGTACCTTCCGTCGCAGGAGGAGTTACTAGCAAAGGCATCTCCAAATCTTCGCCACCGGTTATCCAGCCTCATTGAAGCAGAATTGTGTGCTCTTCAGGTCCTCTCATGCTATGCCATGCTACAGCAGCAAGACCAAATCTCAGCACCACGTCAAAAAGCCAAACGACAAGGCAGACCACGTAAGCTAGCGACTGTGACCGCAACTGCCGCCGGAAGCACCACAGCATCGTCGCTTGGTCTATCAATGCTTTCAACGGAGCAAATCCCATCTACTTCATCGATCTATTAAAGCACAAGCGGACACAACGCTTGAGTAAGCACGGCAGACAGAAATTAGTTACCTGTTGCACTAGTTGTATAATTATAAACACCATCAATACGATAAATACACGAGAGAATACTCTTCCGTTTCAATTGACACCAACACAATGGGCAAATATGAAGTACAAGATACCCTTCGATGTCTACTTACATGTACACGCTCGGATAGATTTTCCTGAATAAGCCTTTGCCTTTCGCCGTCACGCTTGGGGTTCTTCTTTTTGGGATTTGAGAAATAGTTCCAACACCGTTGCTGCTGCTGAACGTGGGCTAATGAAACCGTGAACCAGATCCTTCTTCATCTTTTCAGCTTTGTGTCGCACTGTAATACTGCGTGACACAGATCGCATGAGCTGCTCGTTTAGCTGGTTCCACATCCACTTCGAGCTTTGCGCATTGCGCTTCTGAGCGATCTGCGGAGACACGAATGTTACCACACATTAACAAATGCTCCGCGTTTTCCTAGACTCACCTTGTCAAGCTCTCCCATGGTCTTTCGGTATTCTTCAATGATCGCCCACACGTTATCGATGCCCTTCTTCTCCAAAGCAGAAATCATCTTAACCTATGCAAACAAAATTTAGAGCAATACTCGTTGTATATCAAAAATACAGCCAAAAACTTACTTTCGGCTCCCAATCAGGATCTTTCCTGCGCATGAGGTGCATCGCATGCATGTAGTCCACCGCAGTATGCTTCGCTGGTCTATGACATATCCAATCATCAGTGTGAGAACAAATTCATCCCCAACAAGCTCACTGCGCACCCTTTTAGATCGCCGTCTGCTTTGTTTACCACGACGATATCGGCGATCTCCACAATACCTTTCTTCTGACCTTGTAGATCATCACCGCCGGCAGGGGACACCAGCAGCATGACCATGTCAACTGTGTCATCGATTACGATCTCTGACTGACCTAAGCCAACACTCTCGACGAGGATGATGTCGTACCCGCCAGACTCGCAAAGCAGAACAATTTCGTTCGTATGCTGTGCCACACCGCCCAACGTCCCACGTGACGGTGATGGACGAACGAACGCGTTCGGATCATTAGACAGTTTTTCCATGCGGGTCTTGTCGCCAAGAATCGAACCACCCGAACGTGATGACGAGGGATCTGAAGGCAAAGCAAACGATGGATCAACCCACAAATCCCACTTATCAAAGAGTGAACTGCAGGCGTATCGATAGCAAGCACCGCCACCTTGTGGCCCTGCGCCGTAAGGAATAGACCTAGTGTCTCGATAAACGTGGATTTTCCCGCACCTGGTGGTCCAGCGATACCAAGCCGGAAGGATGTCAACTCCGGTGGGTCAACATGTGCGGGCCTCAGAGATCTGCGCTGGGTGAGTACGCTGTCCAGCAGCAGTTCCGCCTGCTCCTCGTCGCTCTTGAGCGTCGACTCGACTGGGAATCATTCGTTTACATCACGTCGACCAGTTTTGTTGTTAGAGATATCCCAGTGCAAACTTCAAGGAGACCGCTCGTACCCAACGTGATGGACCTGCTGAGTGCAGTGCGATTTCCCTGCAGCACGCCTTCCACCAGTCGCTGCGTCATGGGACGCATTTCTCGGGTGGGTGCCGCAAAGACACTGAGCAAGCGCTCACTGCATGTGGCAGATCGCGGCGCCAGCAAGCACCTCGTTACAATCGCGCCGCGCCTCATTCTGTCCTGCCGTCGATGCGTTTTCAATACATCGGTCGGATCCCGACTAAGTGCGAGCATGTTGAACTTGATATTACGTTCGCAAGTTTTTGTGTGTGTCCACACGCGTTACTTTTTAATCACTTAGAATTTGTATGGAGTAGGGTTAGTAGTCAGTTATGCATTAGCAAACGTTTCTCACTTGGTTAAAATATGAGACCCAGCCTCCTCGGCGGTCAGCACCGTAGCAGGCTTTCATTTCCACGAACACCGGCGCAGCAACAGCACTTACGATCGGAAAGCGCCGTAGCGACGTACTAGATCAGTAACCCAGCCCTCCAGCACCAACAACCTCCCCTCTAGGGCTCTGCCACCACCACTTCTAGCATGGGACAGGGACTATCCCATAATGGCATGCCCAGCGGCGGGGACTTCTACGGGGCCCCTATCTACGCGACCAGCCTTAGCCACGATCGGCAGACGGAGGTGCGCGTGAGTGGAGATTCGGACACCGTACAAATCGGCCCGCGCGCCCAACTCCCGTATCTGGAGACGCTCGGTATGCGTAAGCAGGACTTCTTCCGACGGTTAGGCCTGGTGGTCAAGACCCGCGGTAGCCGGATCACGCAGAACGCCGAGGTCGTGATCGCCGACTTCTACAGACTAGACGGAAAGCGTTTCGTGCCACGAAACCACGGACAGGGGCCGCAGCCTACGGACTGGCACGGACTCAAGGGCCCTGCCGAGGCCAGCTGCGGCCTGCGCGCCGGAGACACGCTCTACGCCATCAACCACCGACTTGTAATGAACAAATCCAAGGGACAGGTGTTGCGGCAGATTAACGCGCTGCTGGAGAAGGGCGATGGTGCAACTGTGGTTCTCACGTGGAAACACACAGACGAAATCGAGGTCGTGTCCTGGGAAAGCGAGCTGTGCATGCCGCCGCCTGAGGGCGTCTATACACAGATGGAGAACGAGTGGGGACCTGCGCGGCCAAGCAAGATCTCCTCCGTCTCCATCTAGCAATCAGGCCTGTTCCTCCCCCATGTTTGAGCGCGCGCCATCGCCACAACCAGCCCACCAGCGAACGACATTCCAGTTTTCACTTTTTATCTTTTTCAACGGCATCTTTTCTTTTGCCGTGTCCGCCTACTACAAGACATCAGCAGCTATGGAGGAGCTCGCCGATTCTAGCGCATGTGATCCATCTCAAGCACGTTGGCCTAGAAGTTTCGGTAGAACATGAGGTCTTTTCGTCGATCGGTAGCACTCACGATCGGTGACATCTAGTGATCGAGCGACGAGGAACGGTCAACGAAACATCACGATTGACCAAAACGGCGTGCAACACATGAGCCAACGGAGAACAGCGAAGGAGGAAGGAGGACAGGCTCAACACGAGGTTTGGCTAGCAATTGTTCGCTGTTTCTAGTTTATTTAGTTTTGCATTTCTCTCGATGCCATCGACGGCGTTTTGCACCGCAGACGTCTACAGATCGGCTGCCTGCTCCTTCCGCTGGAAGAGGGAGACTGGCGTTGCTGCTACGACAGTGTAAACAAGTATTATACAATAACACGTTCAATCGCTGTTGCAGTTCCGTTTGCAATTGTTGTCTACAGCAATTGCCGTCGCGTTGACACGGTGGGTACATTTCGCAGCATCGTGTTGCGAACGGTTTATTGGAAGGTCTCCAGTATCCACAGCAAGCACGACAATTATGGCCCTGTATCGGCAATGTAGTCCAAGCTGAGCCCTTTGCTGGACCATGTAATCTGGATACGGTTGAGTGTTTCTAAGCTCTTGACCAGTTCCGGCGATACTAGCATGAGTCGTGTTGTGTCGCTGGGCTGTCAAGGGTATTAAGTAACGCTCAATCAAAGCAGCAGTCCACGACATCACATCGCAAGTATTCTAGCCTTTTCTTCTTCTTCTTCTCTTTGCTCTCTCTGTCGAGTCTAATCCTCCACTGCCAGCAGCTTTTTGAGCCGTTCAAACGTGCCAAAAGTAATCCCTACCATAGGCACAACCTTCATGAGTTCCGGCGTAAGTCCGCGATAAAACCCACGGATGCCCTGGGTCTGAAAAAGCTCCGACGCAATCCCCGAGGGCGTCGGCTTGATACCCGCATTCTCGGCATGAATCGCCGAGATCTGCAGCCGGCGGCGCACCACGTCAATGGGAAATGTCAGCAGGGACGAGGCGATACCAGCCGTGCCACCGCATACAAGCGTGTCCGTCACGCACAAATGAGTGTCGTTGTACATTTCCGCAGCTTGTTCCCTTTCGACGCCAGTCAGTCCTGCAAGTGCCTGATTGCGGCGGAACGACCGCGCGTAGTCCTTGAGCGATTCGTATAAGGTAAAATTGACGGCCAGATTGGGGACCGTGACCATGAGCGTAGCGCCCATGCCACGGTAAAGTCCCATTACGCCCTCCTCGGCGCTAATGCGCTGCACGGCATGCCGAATGCCTGTGTATCGGATGTCTGTATTGAGCTGTGTCGCCAATCGCGTTCGAATGAGGTCGATCGGATAGCAGGCCACCGTGGCCGTTGCACCGGCCAGCGCACCTGATACGAACATGGTGGTCCACGAGTTATCAGCAAAAGCCGGGTGGTTCTGCGCGATGATACCGTTCTTGACCATCTCGAAGGTGAAGAAGTTCACGGCAGAATATGGGAAGCGGTGCAGCACACTGGCGCCATTACCTTTCCAGAAGGCCAGCACACCCTCATTCTTGAGCACCTTGGTGAAAGCACTGGTCACAGTGGGCGAGAAGCGGTCGGTGTGCCGCGTGGAAACCATGCTGTGTACCTGGAAGAGAATCGTAAGACGGCTAAGCGGCGCCGTGACAGTCTTACCGACGCTGCCAGCTACACCGCCGGCAAAGAGCACGCTTCCGTGGCGCATGAGCTGCTTGACAGTGTCCTTTTGTACCAGTTCCACGTCCACATCATCTGTTTCCGTGCACAGATCACCCGTGTCGCCGAAGGTTACGACGCCCGTAGTATGGCGCCGCAGCGTAATGCGCACCTCGCGTTCGCGATCTACCGGATAGGGGAGCGCACCTCTGCCTTCATGGTCTGCCTCGTGGTTAATGGTCGGTCCACGTGACATACTAGGCGTCGGGAGGAAGAGACCGCCAAGGGACGGAGTGGGTCGAAGTTTCTGGGCTTCGTCCTGGTGGTCGTTGGTGTCTGCGGAATCCCCGGCCGCTCACTAACACCGTCGTGTCATTATTGGGTGGACTACACCACATTACCTCATCAGAGTGACATCTAGCTGGCCTTTGTGACATGACACATTTCCTTCTGTCTGGACCAGTGCGCGGCAAGATGGACATGCGGTCGAAGGCGTACCCGGCGCTGCCGGATTGCCGCGGTCTATGTCTGGTGATCCCGCGTGCCGGAGACCTGCGCTTCCGCCCGCAGATTCCAGCAGCCTTCAAGCAAAGGCTGTACATCCACGCGGATCCGCGCCGCCGCTTCTGGTACGCGCGCTTTCAAGTGCGGCGCAAATTCATCGTGATGTCGACGCAGGGAGACCTGTACGCCAAGACCAGCGTGGCCACCTTCACGATGGCTGACCTGCCGAAGCAGAACGTGCTCAGCATGCCTCGTGTGGCACGTGGAGACCTCGTGAAGGTGTTGGACCTCGTGCAGTGCTCAAGAAGTGAGGGGCAGCAATGGGAACTCGTATTCACGCGCTGGCGCAACGGAATGGAGACGTGGCTGCCGCTGGAGGTAGTGCAACTTTACGCGACCAATCTGCTGCAGGAATTCTTCGTCAACAGTATTAACTCGTGGGCCTTCCACGGCCGCTTGCAACCGGGAAACCTCTCAGCGTACCGAACAGAGGTGGAACTTTGGCTTTTTCACCCTGAATTCCAGGAATTCTACAAGCGATTACGCCTGAAGCGAGCAGGTGGTAGTACAGCGTCGAATCCGCAGCAGCAAGCAAGACAGACGTCGGATCGGGTACCTATTAAACCGGAGCAATTGACGGCTCCTGTAAATACTTCACATACATCGCCAGCACCACACCCAACGCAAACAGCACATCCACCAGCTCTTGTAACAACAGCGACGGAAAGTGACCCATCAGAAGCCGTGATTCGGGAATTTGAGCAGCGAAGACTTGCGAGGGAACGTCAGGAGCGTCAGGAACAACTTGATCGAGATCGCCAACAGCGGTTGCTACAAGCGCAGCAGCAAAGACAACGACAGCAACAACTACAGGAACAAGAACGCCAGTGGCGTCTTCAGCACGAACAACAAAGGAAAAGAGCGCACGAAGAGCTACAAAGAAGCCAAAAGGAATATCAGCAGCGGCTTCGAATGCAGCAGGAACGAGAAAAACTAATGGAATTGCAGCAGCAAGAGCATGGAAGGCAGCAGCGAGCAAAAGAACAAGAACAATTGCGCCAGAGGTTGCAACAGGACAAATCTCAGAAGAAGAAATCTGTTCACAAGCAGATACCTACACATCGGCAAGAAACGCCGATGCGAACGCAACTTCGACCTAAAGAACGGCCAAACAAGTCTGACTCTCACTCCTCCCAAAAGTCAAAAGATAAACATTCCAGCTCCATTTGGAATGATGGTGGGGATGATGAGTACGTTCCACCAGAGGCAAGCGACAGTGAGGATAGCGACACCGGTGAGGATAGCGAGGTGAGTGAGGACAGCTTACGTAGCCGGCCTATCCGAAAGCGCCGCCGAAAGCGATTATTATACTCCCAAGTAGAGCTTGAAGACGACGATGATGAAGACCTTCCAGACCTGTCACAGCCTCGAACCCGTCGACGGAAAACACTTCAAAGCAGTAGTGAAGATGGTTCTCCTGTTGGGACGCCTACGCGGGCAAGTAAAAAACGCAGAAGATTACGGAAGCCCGATTCGAATGGAGGAAAAAGTAGCGGTGTTGATGTTGACCTCACGCAGGTATCAGGTGATGAAGAAGAAACAGACAATTCAGTGGAGTTGCTGGCGGAAAATGGGGTTACCACGCCAGTACAATCGAATGGAGGAGAAGCTGGTGATGGTGAGGTTATTTCAGAACTTGATATTGATCTCGACGACGATTTAGACTTTGAGCCTTCAATACTTATTGGAAAGATTCAGTGCGTGTGCGGGGTTACCTCTGTTGGGGGGTATCGCGGACAATGGCTCCAGTGCTGGAAAGAAGATTGTGGTGTTTGGGAGCATGCCGACTGCGTTGGATATTTGACAAGTTTTGAAACCCGTCCACCTCTGAAGTACCTCTGTAGTCGTTGTGATCCTGAAGTATACTCGACACGCTGCATGAAAGCATCCCACCGAATACTGGATTGGCTATTTCAGTGTTGTGGCAGTAGGAACTCAAAGAAGTTGATGGATTTACTGGAAGACAACACTGGCGTTGCAAATCTCCCTTCCGACTGGAAAAATGCAAATTACGATAACAGGACTCTGGCGATGCATGCAGCACGTAATGGCCTTGTGAAGTGCTTGTTTTATTTGCTGGATAAGCGCAAGGTGAACCTTTTTGAGACGGATTCACGAAGTCGTAACGCACTGCACCACGCTGCGCTTGGGGGATCAGTCCGGTGCTGTCAGGCATTACTGAAACGCGATCGAAAACTGCTGCTTCACCAAGATTTGCGGGGGTGCATGCCTTTTCACTTAATGCTGCAATCAGCTAAAGTAAACCGTCTGTGCGTCCCATTTATCAGGGAGGACGCGGCGCTAGTGGGTATGGGTGACCTAGACTCCAATTTTCCGATTCACTATGCTTGCCAGGCTATCAACAAGAGCACAGTAGAGATATGCCAAATGATCTTCACTGCTCAGCCGTCAATGCTTCAGGAGAAGTCCAGCGATGGTTTGTATCCCCTGATGATTTTGTGCAAGGCAACTGACACTGCTACTGCAATACGAAATAGGGCAGTCAATGCGGGCGAAGTTTGCACAAGTGCGAAGGATATTATCGCGTTGATGCTTGATGTCGACGTGTTTGGAGACTGCTTGAACCAGACGGCACCTAACGGGTGGCCTCCACTTCATTTCGCTGCAGCGTCGGGCAATCACGAGCTTGTTACACATCTTTGTAATATTGGGCTCTGTGATGTGCAGCATGCTGCGAAGGGATCTGATCAAACAGCTCTTCACATTGCGGCACAGAACAATCATCCTCTGTGTGTCCGTGCACTTCTTCTGGAAGGATTAAATGTTGTGGCAAAGGATACAGATGGGTGGATTCCAATGCTGTACGCGCAGGATGCCGCCTGCGTTCAAGAATTTATGCACTACAAGCTGACAAAGCAGCTTTCGAGGCTGCATCGAATGCTGGGCAAATTCCAGCAGAGAGGGCTTGTCTGTCGGTGGCAGCGACGTGTAGCACGGGACCCGACCTGCTTTGATATTCTCAATGATTGGTGCCAGAGTGATACTGAGCGGATCGAGCGAATGGAAGGACTTTTACTGTCGAACCCTTTCTTACTTCGACTGGATAACAAGATGGATTATGTTTGGAAATACATTATCCAATCTATCAAGAACTCTCCTGGCCAGTGCTCGATTGGCCGTGAAAACGGAAAAGCGGGCACTCAGCAGTCAGGGCAGAAGAAGCTCGCTTTCACTTTCTCGCGCAAACACGGTTGTTTTTGGAAGCAATTCGTTGGTATGGGAATGAGGCTAGAGCCTGAAGACTTTCGTTTGCCTATAATTTTCTCCATTGACCGGAATCACACGAACAACCAAGGTGCCGAGAATCGAGAGGGTAATCTGAAGCTTGTGCTGATTCGACTTGCCGCTGGATTGCTCAAAGAAATGCCTGGTTTGCTTGTACGCGGTTCAAATTGCGATTTGGAGAAGAATCCACTGTCTGCAGACAAGGAGGAGCTGGCAGCTCAATTACTTGGCTTTTTCGTGCTGGGTGAGCTGGTTGCACACTTTGTGCTTTTTGCAGTGCCGTTGAGTGGAATTCTGGACTTCACTGCTGCGTTTCTGCGGTGCATCGCTTGCAAAGGGAGATATCGCCTGGCACATGATAAGCCTTGGAAAAACGCTGGGCGCTCCTTTGCTGCGGGATTCGAGGCTGTGCTGCCAGCAACCCTAGAGCTTTTTCACGCGGATGAACTTCGGGTGCTCTTTAATGGCCCAGAGACGAGCCTCAACGCTTTGCAGATTGACTGGAATTCCGCGGTTGATTGGAATATGTGCGGGCAAGAAGTAATGGGAGATAATGATGTCGAAAACGCGAAGACGTGGCTGCCTCGCTTGATGAATGAGCTGGTTGAGGAGGAGCAACAGCTTTTGTTGCTGTTTATGACGGGCACATTCCAGTTGGTAAACGAACGATTTTTTCGGTCTGAAGGGAGTTCTGGTCGTATTACTGTCGAGTCTTTCCCCGAGACTGACAGCATATTCGACCACGACGCCATGTTTCCTACGATGGAGCACAAACCAGATATACTACGACTTCCGTCATATTCATGCTACGAAGCTTTCAAGAAGGGGGTGCTAGCTGTCATTCGTCACACCGATAAAGCATTTCTTCCGGAATAATGTAAATGGAGTTTGAAACAACTGATTTGTGCTTACGGGAGTTCGAAGAGATAGTTCTGCAACAACGTGACTACTGGAATATCTATGAGCTCTGCAAAGAGATCGTCGACTTCCTCGCGCGTGCTCACACACTCCAATTCATCTGCTCGGAAGTTGAAAAGTGCAGCAGCAAAAACGGCAACGAGCTCTAATGAATCGTAGCCAATGACGCGGTCCCAGAGTAGGAGGACTTGATCAATGTCTAATACGCCCGAGAAAGCACTCTGAATCCACGAGAAGGCAATATCCAAAGGTGTGATGCCAATATTTCTGAGATGGAATACAACGGCGGGACTTGAGCGCGCGACAAGATCTTCAAACAACTTGCAAAGAGGAAAGATCGTTCCTCGTTCAGTACGGATAGCATTGAGCTTGCTCCAGTAGCGAGTGTACATCTCACGGAATACGTAGTAGATTTCTACAGGATCCGCGTAGAGATAAGCAAGTGGAGCCATGTACATGACGAGGCCACTGAAAGGCAACACTCCGTTTGGAGGGACTCGGCACTCGGTCACGTCAGGCGTGGCGTCGTCTGGCTGTAAATCTGCTGTTTGTGGAAGTCCAGCTCCAGACAGAGAACATGTCACGGTACCATTCACTTGCAGTGCGTGTGCCTTGACGTATGTATCCCGTGTGAATGCCATGAGTACGCTTTCGAGATGGTCTTGGAAAACGAAGTAGTCACAGCTGTCGATCGTTTGCTGGAGATCAAGCAAGTACATGTCGTCCGTGAGGTAGGCCCACTGCGCGGCATGCTTTTGTAAATGTTCGAAGTAGCTCCGATCCTGTGCGGTGACCGGTACCGACAGAGCCTGTCGCCATATCTGTTGACACGTAGAACCAAAGTGGTCATTTGAGTGATCATGGATTTTTGAAGTTATCCTACCTGGGGTCGCAAACTGACAGGGCATCCTGTCTTGGAGTACTGACGAGCCATTGACACACTTTGATGTGCTAGAACAAGATCGCCGACACGGTTTTTCTCAGCGATGAAAGCACTCCTTTGCGCTGGGAAAAGCTCATCCAGTCCAATTTGACCGTATCCAGGGGCTAGCTCTGGGAATAATCGTCGATATTCAGGAAAGGGTGGCGAATAGAGCTCAAACTGAATCGAACCTGCACCACCGCCGAGTGTCAGTTTCTGTGCAATGAAAGACAGAGCAGAGTGCATACCCCAAGTGCTTGGTGACAGCTCCATCGGCTCACGAGTTCGGTTGGGTGGCTCGATGGCTTGAAGTGAACGCAGCAGATCGATTCTAGTGTTAAAAGAATATTACGTCAAAAAGAAAGTATTGGTTTGGCCGACCGATAGCTTCATGACGTACCCGTCGTAGAGAAATCGTGCATTTAGTTTTTTGCTCAGCTTGGGAGATTTCATACTCTCCTCCTCGAGTGTGGCTGTCTGTCCATCATCGCGATCTGGTGTTTCCACGGTCGCTTTCGGGGCTATCAGTGGCCGTCCGAGCTCACTCGCAACCCTCAGCATCTCGTCGCTCGTGATTTTCTCCCAGTTGTCGCGCGCAGCCCGAACGACGTCGAGACTGCAACCATCCGCCATGCGCACCCCCGGCAGCAAAAGCCCATCGTTTGGCGAGCATCTCAACTGTTTCTTCGACGCTGCAGTTGCACTCTGCATGGCCTCGCAGTGCAGATCGATCACCGTGCGCTTGATGAGCCCAAGCAGCCCCATCTTTTCCAGCAGGCAGTACATGAGCGGATTGTCCAGTGTTTGCAGACTCTGCACCTGATCTACCGAATACTGCTGCTGTGTGAGCTCCATTTTGACAGCGTGCTTCCACTCTTTCACTTGGTCCAGAGCTGCCAGCCGTTCTGCCAGCAAAATCGCTTTTTCCTCGAGCCCCATTTCCTTCTCGTAGCGCACTGCCACCATCGCTCAAAAGGCACACTTCAACTCGTTTCTGAACGTCATAAAGCACTTTTTCTGGAAAAAAAGCTCTTGCCTTGCATTCAGACGAAAAAAAACCATTAAATTTTTAATTTTTTTTTCGTCTGAATGCCATCCCGGCCAATCACACGACTCTCCTTTGCCCATCGTACTTAAACGAATGGTAAATATTTTTATGATTTTTTTTTCGTCCACAACGCAAATTGACCATGAGGCTCTTGGTGTTGTTGGCGCTGCTGCTATCGCCGTCGCGAGCCTTTTTCTTCAACCACCCAAGTATTAACGGTGACTCGTACAGCTACAAGGGAGATGGCAATGTCCCTGACCACCCCGAAAGCCTTTTCCAGCTGGATGACACCTTCACCGACGTGTGCGTGGCTGCAGTCTGTACATTTGCTTTAAAGAACGCCAAATTGCTGATACTTTTGGTCGTATTACGCTTGGACTACAGCACGCTGGAAAACTGGGATTTGAGCAGAGTCGCGGTTCTCAAGCTGCCCCCCACAATCCAGAAATTGTACGACTGTAAATCTGAATTGGAACGCACGAAGGATGCTGTTACTAAAGTAAATTCTGCAGGAGCCTCATCAAGTGCAAGCTGTCTGTCATCCCTGATGAAGTGCGAATGCTGGAGAACTTGCAGGAGCTGTACGATGGCACAGTGCTCTCTATATTCATGTTGAAGACTGACGAATCTGTGCTAAATGGTGATGGCCTTGGCAGAAATGTAGCGGAGAACCAATTGGAAGCCTTTGACGGTGTATTTACAACCTCTTCGTCTTTGATTGAGTTGTACGTTCTGTAAATGGCGACAATTGCTATGTATGAGCGGGTAACTAACCGTTTGCCCCATATTTCCTTAGGAATGTTTCACACAACGCTCTCCAAACCTTCAACATACCGTTGCCACATCTGACGACTCTGTAAGTTATGATATGACACATATTGTTTTGTTTAGCTACTCTAACGCGTGAATTATACCTTGCTTCGACCAGAGATCTATCCTCCAATGTCCTAACTGAGTTCCCCAACGCAGTGTTTGCATCGTCTCAGTTGGACAGCTTCCGCATTTCTGGCAATGGGTTCGAGATCGTAACGTTGTCGACGGCGCAGTATGACTTCTTCGCTGGTTTATCTGATTTTCAGGCCGCTTTCGCCGACGTGTCAACCTGTGCGTCTGGGTCTCTCGTTTATCTTCAAGGAAAAGGTGTATGTCGCTTGGATATTGCAGCAGAAGAAGACCCTGCAATTGTGATGCGAGATCACGGGGCGGATAAGGAGGAGCCCTCAACTCCAATGGCGACGGTCGGGGTGGTAATTCCACACTTGCCGATTCCAAGCAACAACATCACCAAGAAGTATATCATCGCAGCAATTATCGTGCTGATGGTCATCGGTATGATTGCTGGTGTGATCGCTCTGATATCGCTTGGAATTGTCGGTGGCATTGCACGCGCAGTCTACGAGTATATCGGCAGGTGGCAGAAAAAGCGCCACCGTGAAGGTATTCACGAGAACACGCCTTTGTTTTTCGACCAGGCAGCTCGAGCAAGCTATCAGAAGGAGATGGATGCGGTTGACAAGTTGTTCCCATCCAATGACCCGGTTCTTGTGACGTGGCGCATTGATTATGATAGCGTTACACTTGTGAAGAAGATTGCTCAAGGTGCGTTCGGTGAGGTGTGGGTGGGTCATTACCGCAATGATCGAGTAGCTGTGAAGAGGTTGATTCAAGACCAGGTGTCACTGGCGACTAGTGAAGCGTTTTTGCGTGAGATCAAATTGATGGCGTGGCTAGAGCACCCGAAGATTGTCCAGTTCGTGGGTGTCGCGTGGACAAAGCTGGTTGACATGCTCGCCGTGATTGAATACATGGATGGCGGAGATCTACGAACGTTGTTAGATAAGAAATCCCCCAAGAAGCTTCCGTGGCAGGAGGGTGGTCTGAAGCTACAGTACGCCCGTGACACAATTGATGCAGTTGTGTATCTACACTCGTTAAGCGTCGTGATTATTCACCGTGATCTCAAGTCCCGAAATATTCTACTCGATTCCAAGAAGGGAGCTAAGCTTGGCGATTTCGGGGTTTCGGCTACTAAACGACAGCACGATATGACTGCCGGCGTAGGCACTGCCCGTTGGCTCGCTCCTGAAATCGCACGAGGGGAAGATAAATACACAGAGGCTGTCGATGTGTATTCCTTCGGCATCATTCTCTCCGAACTGGACACGCATCAACTACCGTTCGGGGATGCTAAAACGAGCGCAGGGGCCCCACTTAACGATATGGCTATCCTTCAAGGCGTTTCATCTGGTACACTGCAAGTCACACTGTCTCCTACGTGTCCTTCCAACCTCGAGGCACTTGCCAGGAGTTGCATGAACTTGGATCCTGCTCAGCGTCCAACTGCTGCCCAGGTGGCCTACGAACTGCGAAAATCAGATTTACTTCTTTAACATTGAGCGTGAAGATTAAGCAGTTCAAACTGAGCAAGCATTAAATGCAACAGGAACGAGAAATACGAGGGAGTTGTACTGGAATTCGTGAACTCTGATTTCTGACTGGTAAGTTGTGATTTACCGAAGTCGACAACCATCGTGGATGTTAGTAGTCGGCGGTTGAGTAGTATCGGTTGGACTGTCGGGTGTTTGCGTTGAAGGTGCGTCTGCTGTCTCAAACGGAGTAGTGGTGGGCGCTTCTGTTGTTGGGACTTCAGTGCTTGGACTTGCCATAATCGTCGCCAGCGGCGGAGCGGACGAAAGTGCTGTTGTTGGCAACGTTGACGACTGACCGGGACACTGGAAGCGGCTGTCCGAAACTGAGGGGCACGCTTCATTTGCAGAGCTATCACTTGGCCACTGGAACTGACGAAGGCCAGGAGAGCCAGCAGGGCAAGTGGATGTTTCAACATGGTTCGGAGGGACCTCATAGGTGCTGAGTGTTGGCTGCCTCGAGCCGTCGTACGATGCAAACGCCTGCCTGAGGAAATCAAAGTTCGGAAAACGCTGGTACGTGCAGTTTATGCCTGCGTCCGTGCAGTCTGCTGGCGAGAAGTAACCCAGCCCGTAATTCTGCGGGCCGTACGTTGTGAACGGATAGGGGGACGTTGACATGGAGTTGGCATTCTCCGTCGAGTACTCGAATGCGATACCACCAGCGAAGTAGTCACTGTACTCCGGTAGGTTCATGAACACAGCATCGTGGAACGTACGCTGCGCCTCGAAGCCGTCCACAGTGGGGAATGCTGGACTGACACAGCCGAACTCGGTGAGCACAACGGGGATGGAGTAATCGTAGCTTTTGAAGCTGTCGCGCAGCATGTTGAATCCCGTGGCCTTGGCCGGGTCCGAGATGTCGTCGCAGTGTACGTACGTGTTGATGCCGTACCATTGTGCGTTCTCGAGCTCGTCACTCTCGTCGGTGCGACAGTTGTAGTACTGCGCGTTTTCATCTCGGTCGGTATCGGCCACGACGAGACCCACAGGCACTCGACGTAAGTTAGGGCACGACTGGATGAAGGCACGCATGTCCCGGATGAACTTCTTCTGGCACGGCGCGTTCCACGTCCAGGGGTTGCCTCCCGTACGGTGGTTGATCTCGTTACCTCCGCTAAACGCCAAGACGTTATCGAAGCGCGCGAACTGTTTGATAATCTTCTCTCCGCGTGTCTTATAGGACGCGGGGTAGCACGTAGGCGCAGAATCAGCCGTAATCTCACACCCTTCGCAGTTGGCGCCGAGATCGACGACAACGTAGATCCCCGCGGACTGCAGTGTGCACATGAAATCCGTGTGATCGACGTCCGGGTCAACGGCGTAAAGTCGGATAACGTTGGCTCCGAGCGCCATGAACTGCGGTACATCTCGCTGCCAGATGTGCTTGAAATCGTTTGAGAAGAGATCGAGGTTGTTTATGTCGAGGGGGCCGGTGTTGGGTCTGGGGTAGTAGTTGACGCCTCTGATAGCGAAGTAGTCACCTGTGACCGAGTCAAAGAAGCGGTTACCCTTGATGATCGCCGGGTTTATTGCGGCCGTGAGAGCAGGGATAAGGACTTGGAGTCCACTTAGGATTAGTATGGCTTTTGGAAACAGCATGTCTGTGTGCGGGTGGTTGTGGTGTGGTTGCTGAAGGTGCTTTGTGAAATGAGGAGACTGCGCGGATTCGGCAACTAAGCTCATAAGTCTACACTATGGGAAGGGCGAAGTGGCCGTAGTTGCGACGGCAACGCTGACCGCCCCGCTTCCCATTTTCTCGGTGGAAGCGGGGGTAACGACGTCGTGATGGCTTCTTGGCCTTCCTCTAGATGCTCTGTCTGCGGGAAGACTGACAAACTAATAGATAGATTGAGATAGCTACGTTATGCTGCCGAGCAGTGATGCTGAGCGTCGACTTTCCTTGACGCATACTCCTTGTTCTTATAAATACTATCATTTAAGGATAATTGTAAAATGTGACTGACGAATTCGATCCGGTCTGGTTCTGATAATGATCCATTTTGTTCTTGAATTTCTGACAATTATCAGATCTAAACCGTAGGCGAACCTTGAGCCCTATATTAGAATTTTTGGGAAATAGTAATCTGCTCAGTATAACTGCAGAATACTACTAAACTACTATTATATTTAAAAAAAATAATTGCGAGTTTTTACATTTGGTAGAACTTTAATTTATAACAGATTATAGTATCATTCTTAGAACCAATTCAAGTATATTAGTAGTACTATATTGTTTATATTAATGACGCGGCAATCGTAAGCTAGCTAACCAATGCAGCACCAGTACATTACCATGCCATGACGCAGTGAGTACGCGCCGATTTCGCTGCCTTCCTACTGTTTTAAGCGGCACATGCATTTCCGCGCGGAGGTTATCGGTTCGTGTGCGCAAGTTGTTCCTGTCAGCTCCACCGGTCGAGAAAACGCACTCATGGAGTGCCTTGGAAGGAGCTCGTTCAAGTCAAAGTCGACCTAATGCTGCAACGGCCGGAAAGCGGGTACTATCAACATTTTGTAGCCAACGGATGATATCAACATGCTTGCAGATGGTTTCAACCCTCCAGCAGACGACGTTGTCACGTCAAACAAGTTGCAGCGGGGTAAAGTAGCTCTTTGATCTCGACTCGTCATCTGAATGAAGCGCTGCAACAGAGACCCAGTCGTCTGTGTACTGCCCCACTCTCCAAACCCTTGTCGGCCTGGTCATGAAAAGACCCCGAGGAAACAACGCCGACAACGTCGGTCTGGATTGGAGCTCCGTAAATCATCTTCTCGCCATTGGTGTTGGAACAAGATCCAGGCGCGTCGATGACTGTATTCTCACTTGCAGTGCCAGAGCTAGCGTGAAGCGAGTTAAACACCTCACCGTGTACATTGACGAGAAAAGCATTGCCGGCTGCAATGATCTGCCAGCTATTATCCTTCATCAACGTCTTCGTTATCAAGAAGCTCACTCGTTTGTGATCTTGTCGGTCGAATCGAAGAATCAACCTATAATTTGGTCGTAGGTCCGACAAGAGTACTAGGACGGTCTCAGCAGTGCTTATAGCGGTACGCTTCTCGCCAGTGAGGTCGCTGAGATCGGCAACAGTGTAACGTAGAGGAAGCTTGTGTTGCAGGATGCAAATTGGAAAGTGATATTAGTAAATTAAAAGTCTGCACTCTTTTGTGTCTAGACTATCTACT